CATCTGCTGTATCCTGAATTAATATTGCGAGGCATAAATAATGGTATCGATATGTAAATATCAGTATGAGTCATGCATGAGATCAATACATTTTCCAATCCCATCCCTTCATTCAAATCATTCCGGGGACAAAAAAAAGGGAAAAGAAAACAAAGCTAAAAGATTTTTTTTGCGAGCCTGAGATATAAATAAAACCAAACAACAAGTACATAAATTTAAACCTGTACAACTACACCAAGCTGTGGAGTCGAACGACAACCACTCGGTTCGCCTTGCTGTACGAAATTTGGTGAAACACGACTCGGTGTGCTTTCACAACGCCTACAATATAGTGCACTGTTTTACTGGAGGAAAATAATGGTACAATGATTATAAATTAGAGAGGAGAAAAAGTTTTAATATCCAAATTTATGATATTTGTGATATATTATTGTTCATGGTGCCACAATGATACTCAATTTTCGTTATATCGATCTCGCAGTATCATCAGTAGTGTAAATAAGAATTAGAAAGACAAATGTACATCGTTCTTCTTTGCTCATATCTACGCTACATATGTTGCTGTATGCACATTTGACTTAATGAACTGCAGTAATCAATATATAAATTATATTACTGGAAACATTTTTCTGCAGACAAATGTTTAACCGACGTACGCGATACTGTGGCAGAGACCCGTTGCTGAACTATGCGCACGAGTGCGTGCTGATGACGAAGTGCTCGGCTGCTCACTGTTATTTGTCGTACGTGAGCTCTCCGCTCCGGTAGCTACTCGGCCCGCCACAGTGGTACGACCTTTACGAACACGCGGCCTATCTTTTGCACTTCTGGAATAACGTTGTTCTTTTCAAGGAACTTGGTAACATTACCTACAACTACGCAAAAAATATCAAGAAAAAAAACCACCTTCGTCACCACCCCCAAATTGCTGTGATCGATATAAAACGATAACCACAGGTGAAAGATTACAACTTGTTCTCCAGAAACCGAAACATAATTTCTGTAGATGAGATTTATCAGCAACAAACGAACATGAAGGATGACACGGTGAAAGAGAGAGGAGAAAGAGAAGGAAGTGAAGTAATACTAAGAATAGAACAGCAAAAAATTATGATACCTAGGCTGCTCAGCCACTAGTGAACCACTATTTGTATGCGCAGAACTGTTAATACTGTCTGTTGTCTGACTCTGCAATAAGACCAAAGCGCAGTAAAAACAATGAAAGTTTTAAGAAAAAAAGTACGAAATCATAACATCGTATCCCAGTTCAATCTTAAACGGTACTCTAAACAGAGAGTCTGTGCAACTTGAACAAAAAAACAATGACAGCGCGGTCATCTAATCCCCATAAACCTATAACAACCAATGTGTCTCTAATTAGAGAACCACTTTTTTATCAACAACAAATGGTTGAAATTCAAAAGATTTGAAAAAACTAACACTTGACACTGGAGTTGAATACTGACGTTGCGAACGGGTCAGACGGCGATCAGTCGGGTTTTGATCAGGAAAGAAGTCTGTCAAATACTTCAATTCACTTCTAATACTCTCGTGTCCGGAACGACCGGAACCTGAACGCCCACCCCCTCCACCCACCGATCCCGTTTCAGACGTACCCGCTAAATGAGAACTTTGCTGTAGAGACAGGTCGTCGTTTCCTGGATTCTGCAAATACACAATCTTCTTTTCGGCTTTTCACTCACAATGTTTTAAATGCATTCTTCAGTAAAGCAGAAAGAAACAACCAAAGAATGAGTACGCATCACTACAATTATACTAATATTTTGGAATAGGCAATTTGTCTCACATTAGAAGGGTGAAGAAAGCAAAATCGCCCATCCCGTTTGCAAAGCAGAAGTGTGAAAGTAGGCTTTTTTGAAATTAATATACCTGTTCCACTGATGAATGAGTAACTCGACGCAGTTTAGACGAAGAAGAACCCACAGCTGCAACTGATGCTGTTGGCAAAGCTTCTGATTTCAATGAACCTGGAATGAATGACCGATGATTGGCGGTTATCCAACAACAAACACTAATGGAAAAAGAATCACACAGTTCATTATGATAGCAGAGAAAGTGGCAAAATGAAAAGTAGAAATGACTCTTCAGAATTGCTGAATAGTAACCAAAAATCAGCAACGAAAAAAATAACCAATGTTCACGAATTCTTATTCTAAGAAACATATTTGAGGACATTTGAGGATTTCAATTCTTCAAATCCCACTACTCAAACATGTTGTAACAGCACAGGAATAACAATGATTAGGAAATATTGAAGTACGATATGAGGAGCATATTCCCAAAGTTTTTTTAAGCAAGCCGAAGAGAAATGTTATGTAGATGAGGTGATTCATGCGATCAACAGTAATGACAACACTATCTAACCAGCGAGTAGAACATGGTAAAGAGATTAATACACGTGATTGTCCAATATTTATATAACTTCACGATTCATAAAGCTAATGGACAATTGCATTATCTTTATCCATCACAGTGTAATGAATGAATTACCGGAATGATTAATGAAGATAACGTTTAATTTATAACAATACGAAAGTGCATGTAATGGTAATTTAACAGGACGACCAGTTTTTAGTTTCATTTCCTAACAAATTTTACCATGTAAGGATAAAAGCAACCTGAATTTGGTGAACTACGTTTTCGACTAAGTTGAGGCAGCGTAGCGTTATCACCGTGCTGTCCAGATGCCGATCCTATATTCGACATGGAAGAGCTGAAAATTTAAAGGTTGAAACAATATATTGGCCAATCGATACAATGATTGAGAATCGATGGTTGACGACGCTTTACTTTTTCTATCCATACGTTTCTTCCTATTTGCCTCATTCTTTCCAGTCCACTTTCCTCAGAAGTCCACGAATACCACATACAGAACATAATATCTATTGCTACAGCTCCAAACATTACTATTAAACAAATGGAAGAATTGGAGCTATTTAAAAATCTGCCTGGACTATTTAATTTCAAAGATGGACAGCTCAGAAAATTGTTTCTCAACGCTGTCAAGAATAATGACATCAGCGGTCAGTAAACGTTCGGTTATTGTCTAAAATTCGGATTGTAAAACTGACATTTCGATACCATTCAGAATAGAAGGGAAAAAGTTCAAACATTATCAGAAATAGTATGAAAAATGCTCAGACATCAAACGGAACACTGTGGGAAAATCTAAACATGCATAATTTCTTTCTAACTACTTCTGACGAAATGCTCTCTAAATATGTTTTGTGATTAGTGATGTACTCCTACAATCGTTTCCACCCCCCAACCCAATGACCTACGAGAGAGAGAGGATTGTCCTCTAAAAATACATATTTCGTCTCGACAATGGACATGATACGAACGGTTTAAAATCCATCGCTATTATTTACCACAACCATTAGACTAAAGATCGATTGTTAGGAAGGGAAAAAGAACAAAAGAAAATGAGAAATGATGAAAACGCCGTACATATATTACAAATGTATTGATCGAAGAATTGAAGCAGTAAGCTCTAGAATTTTTACATTTTTACTGCGAAAATTACTGAGACTCGTAAATGTATACAAAAACGAGAAATATAAATTGTAAGATAAAACATCCACTGAATAGAAAAAAAACCATCCCCATACTATTACTGTATAACTTAATTATGGTTAGTAATAATACTGTGACATAAATAATAGGAAATGGAAATCTTGCAAGAAATATTCAATGGATGTTGATAATAATGTATTAAAATGAGTACTCACTTAATTTCTATTTAATTTCTTTCATACTCAATTTCTTTGAACATTCAGGGATCCATTAGATAAAATGATCGTCTACTATCGTATGCTGAATTCTATAGTAATGAACTCGAGATCTTCAGCATCATAGTTTTTGGACATTTTCGTTACCGTAATCGTTTAAAATAGGCAAGGGGAAGAGAGAGAGGAGGGGGAGGAAAAGAGCCCTTCGACGAGCCACAAGAACCCTTCTCTAACCCATTCCTGTAGTTAACAATATATCACAAGTAAGCTACTGAATTATAGTGTGACCCCAACAGTGACCTCGGAAACAAGTGAAGAAACAAAAACGGACTAAGAAGAAATACTCAGAATTCGCACTTCGGATGACTGAACGATCAACATGTTTCGCAGTTGATCAGCACATCATATGATAGCATATGCAATCAGCGATATCAACCTCACTTCCACACCGAACAATGCTAAATCATGATTCATACATATTGCGCTGAACCAGTGCAAACCTGTCTTGACCTTTCCCCGTGACCTACCTACGAAAATTAAAGTGCTCAGAATACTCATCTCTCGGCTGTAAATGCGACAAAAAATACTACGACCACAATAGTACAGTCATTGCCATCAGAAGAGTTGAATGTATAGATAGAATAAACCAATCCTTGAAGAAATTTCCAACATCTATATATAAGTGTACTTCAAGAACTGCAGAACAGATTTGAAAAAAAAACCGATAATTTTTCATCCGGCATGCTATATCAACCATCTAGCTGCTAACATTCACCATTTTCTTTTCTCTCTCAAAAGATCTACCGCTGAGAAAAGAGACGAGAAAACTATCGCCATTATCTTCAGCAAAATAAAAACAGTAGCACTAGCAGTAACAGCAACAGCAACAGTAACAGGAACAGGAACAGCAAACGGCAACAACAACAATAAAAACAACAACAGTAATAATAACCAAAACAACAACAAAAACTTTATTATCAACTAACAAAAAAGTGCTAATAAGGAGAAAATTTCTCTTCGATTATTACTCCCTTCTTCATTCATTCATAACAAAAACTGGAAGGCAAAATCAGTGAAGAGAGATGGAAACGAAATGCCTACAGGGCAAAACACTAACTCTATCAACATATAAGCTTTCTTCTATCCTATATTTTCAGGTTCGAAAAGCATAGAGTATTTATTCCTATAAGCCTTCTTTTACTCAATATTTTAAGGGTTTGAAATCATAGGCCCATTCCATGTTCCCATTTATCCACGCATGTCTTCCTCAACCCAGCACCTACAAGCCCAGAGTCTTAAGCTTATCCATCTTCTATTTATATCCATACAGCTCAACCCTTCCTTATCAAGTGTCTTCGAACCGAAATTTGTAGGCCCATCCAGTGTCCTCATCCGTGCAAGTCTTCCATGAAGATCTCTTATCATTAAACCTGAAATCCTAAGTCCAAAACATAAATCCGTGATGTTCACCAATTACTCCTTACTATACGCCTAAAATCAAAGATACCATACCGCCCAAATCATAAAAATTTCAATTTATATCATTTCCATTCTATCGCTTTTAATTTAGCTACCTAAGATCAATAATATCGCATTTAGCAATCTTCAGTTTACCTAATACCTCATAAATCATTTTCATTTTCAATTATCACTATCAGACAACAAACAATAAGCAAATAAGCAAGAACAATCAATGCGAAATATGACCAATAATCAGAAGCATACCTGAGAAAGCCCTGTACTGAATTATTTGCACACTTGACGTGAACCTTTGACGTATATACGCAGACAAAACCAAATCGATACTTTCAATTTCCCAATTCACCTCTATTCCTCCTGCTTCTTTTCTCTTTTTTTGCTGCTTCTAACTGTATTGTTGACGTTGTTATTGTTGTTGTTGCTATCGAATATACACCACAATACTGATGGGAATAAATCGATAATGAATTCGTTACAATGAAATTTCAAAAAAAAAATACTACATATACATATGGAAACAATACTAATTAGCATACTAAAAGCCTTGTGTATATCTAAGGCTTGTATATATGAGACAAATGCGACGGAAGAACATTGTGCAGGTGAGGAATAGAGGACATCAACGCATCGTTCAATCGTCACCTTCTCCTTCCTTTCCTCTTCATTCATAGCATTTTTGCCTTCTTCCCCTCCTTCTTCCTTATCGTCAAATTGTCAACTTCTATTTGTCTCTTAGAAAAAATTCACTTTGATTCTTCATGTCAAGGCCTTATCAGCATGGGACAAGTTCGAACTGAATAAGATGATAGGACATTATCCATTTCGGTGGCCCCACAAACCCTTCTCCTTTCCATCGTAAAACTCTCATTACCATTCACTCCCGGTAGGCATGTATATGCCTCTCTGTGCATGCATATGTCTATTGCATGCATGCATGCACGTCTCTACGTTTGCATGTACGTATAATGTGCGTGCATATGTCTGAATTATTTAACAAATGACTAGTAATAAAATGACGTGATATGCAAAATGAGTGAAATAAAACAGATATATCATCATCCTCCTCCCTAACTCTGCTCTTATTTTTGCCTCCTCTTTCTCCTTTCTCATGCTAAAAAAAAGACGAATCTCTCTTTCTCCGTCTCCATATATTCTCCTAGCTATAGCTATGTTAAAAACGGATGGATTATTCATGACCGGATATGGTACCGTATATACAACTTATTGTTAAATGTTAATGAGAATAAGTAGCACACGTATTCCTACCACATAACACAATGAAATAAATTATCTCACGTACGTTTTGTCGATTATTGTTTTGGTTTAATTGGAAATGAAAACTGAATCAGTAAACGGATAAATGAATTCAGGAAAAACGGATAGATAAAACCATGTTTTTGTTAAATTACAAAAAATTTTCCGCATATATAATGAAATGAAAAGTATATAAGATATGTCCTACAATGCTTCTATCTAACCCACAATCATCATAACTTTTATTTGCGAAGAGGGACAGAGAGGGAGAGAGAGAGAGAGAGAGGGGGAGGGAGGAG